TAAAGAGGCATTTGCTGAACTTCAAACAGAAATAACAGATATAGCTGGCGATCTTACTTCTGGTGGTATTCCATTTTTAGATTATCGTACATATTCAATGAAAATTTTGTTCCCGAATATGGAAGACCACGGAGTGCTTCAACGAGAAAAACCAGAATTAATCCGAAAAGAAAAAGGTATCCGTTTATTCGGTCAATTAATATTAAACAAGACATTTTTATTATTATTTATAAGAACTTTGGAGAGTAATCGTTATTTTTCAATGAGAGATAGAGTAAATGTAGCTTCTTTGATTATGGTGTCGTTGCAAAGCAAAATGGAATACTGTACAGATATATTAAAGACTTTACTTGCAGAGCTGATTGAAAAATGCATGGAAGGTAATAGCCATCCAAAGTTGCTTTTGAGACGTACAGAAAGTGTTGCAGAAAAAATGTTATCATCATGGTTTACTTTTCTATTGTATAAGTTTTTAAGGGAATGTGCAGGAGAACCTCTGTATTTACTGTTTAGAGCAATGAAACAACAAGTCGATAAAGGACCAGTTGATGCAATTACTTCTGAAGCAAGGTATTCATTGAGTGAAGAGAAACTGATTAGACAATCAATAGATTTTGTTCCAATGACTGTATATGTTTCGATTTCTCAACAGACCGCTTTCGTCACTGGACTTGACCCAAACACTGAAAATATACCGGTTAAAGTATTAGATTGTGATACAATTTCACAAGTTAAAGAAAAAGCATTAGATACTATTTATCGAGCAATGCCTTGTAGTCAACGACCCCGGACGTGTGAACTTGACGTTGAATGGAGAACTGGTACTTCTGGTCGTTTAATTCTGTATGACGAAGACTCAACAACAAAAGTGGAAGGTGAATGGAAAAAACGAAACACTTTACATCATTATATGGTTCCAGATGGTGCTTATCTAAACTTGGTTTCCGTCAAACAAATGTCAACATACAACTTATCAATACTTTCGGACCGCATGGACAAACACAAATATGAAACTTTAAATTTAACGAAATTCAACTACGATAGCCCGCCATATAGTAGGGCTACATCGCCATTGAACAATGATCAGGATGGAGGTCTTAAATGTTGGCATTTAGTCAAACATCATGATAACGATGCCCAAAAAGAAGGCGAACGTGGTAATAAAATGGTATCAGAAATATATCTTACGCGTTTACTAGCTACCAAGGGTACTTTACAAAAGTTCGTAGACGATTTATTTGAAACAATTTTCAGTACCGCGCACAGAGGAAGTGCTCTGCCTTTGGCTATTAAATATATGTTTGATTTTCTTGATGATCAAGCACTTCAGCATGGTATTTCTGATCACGAGGTCGTACATACGTGGAAAAGCAACAGTCTTCCTTTACGTTTTTGGGTGAATCTTATCAAAAATCCCAATTTTGTTTTTGATATACACAAGTCCAACATAGTTGACTCTTGTCTGTCAGTTGTTGCTCAAACATTCATGGACTCATGTTCGACTTCAGATCACAGACTCGGTAAAGATTCACCAAGCTCAAAATTACTTTATGCCAAGGACATTCCGGTGTACAAAGACTGGGTAGATCGTTACTATTCAGACATTAAAATCATGCCAGCAATATCAGACCAGGATATGAATGCCATGCTTGCTGAAGAATCAAGGATACACATGACAGAATTTAATACGAATTGTGCTTTGTATGAACTCTACATGTATGCTGCCAAGTATAACGAACAATTAATGGTAACACTCGAAGAAGATGAATTTTCCCAAAAACAACGATTGGCGTATAAATTGGAACAAGTGCACAACTTCATGATGGTAGAGAAATAATTAGGGGCCATTAATCAAAAGACGGTTAAGATAATTGCTCAATACCGAGTATGAGTGGTTCAATGGAGTTCGCTAATTTTTAGCGATTTTATACATTGTGGTATGTAGAATGTAAGATGATTTTTTTAATATTCAAAAAACTAATTAATAATAATATTAAAATGTTTAAACAAAATTATTAAATGGTAGAAATAAGACGATTTATATAGATAGGATAATCATAATATAAATATGCATAAAAGTATAGTAATAAATTAACATATCTATTGCCTAGTTCTTGCCAATGAGATGTTACCAATACTAATTACTCCAAAAATAAAACATTAAAACCTACATTTTCGGTTGCTTTTCAACAATCTTAAATTTAAGCAAATTTTTTTTTTCATATATCCGTCCAAATTTTCTACCATTCTTTTCCCTCGATATGTACTTTTAATTCAAATATATTTCAACCTATTCTATAAGACTGAGTTAATTTTAATTTAGTTTTTTTTTTTGTATTCATGATTTATTGTTTTTCATTTGATCATTGCTTTTGGCACCGCTCTAGTTAATGCACATAAATAAAAAATTACCGAATAACAGAATATTATAATATATTGCTCCAAAATAGTGTGTTTTTATACTTATATATAAATATATATTTATACCATTCCAAAAATATAACAAATGTTATAATTCCAATTTTGTATTCAGTATTACCTCATAATTGATAAAAAAAAAATAAATAATAATATTATTTTAGATTATAATTGTAAGTACCTAATGATCAAATATTTTGTACTTCTGTATATTTTCTCAATAATTATTAGTTTTATTTTAATGGTAACAAATTTTTATTTGCACATTAAGTTGATAATTAATGTATCTCTTTTTTCAATTAAAATGTATATTTGTGGTATGTGTTGTGTACATTTTTGTTGATTTTGTTATTAATTTTTATTGTAATTTTGTATTATATTACCTAGTCTTTATTTTAATTTTATGCTTTGTTTTTTTTTTCAAATTTTAATTTATTCATTTTATAGCTTTTATCTGAAAAAAATATACATGCGTACTTTTTATAAATATACAAGAAAATTGTATTCACATAATATATTTTAACGATTATCAATAGATTCAACATATAATTTTATTTTTATTTTTTTATTTTATATTGATTTAAAAAAAAACTCACTAAAGAATAGATTATTCTAAATGCAGTGGTTAGAACGTGTTAATATTTTGTGAGCGCCTTTTGAGAAAATGACTGTAATTTATTTTAAATTTATACAATGTTATGAACATAAAAAAGTAAATTTTAGGTTTTTTTCTGTAAAGATATTGGTCCTTTTTGTGTATTAAATTTAAATAATCAAAATGAGGTGGTTGTATTCTCGTTATATATTTTTACTTATTATTTTAGTCGGTTAATTTCTTCCATAAGTATATCATAAAAAAAAGTTCAAAATTCTGTTTGACAACAATGAATCAACGATGAATTCGTTATTCCTTCTATTAGTAATCTATAACTACAAATAACTTAAAAATAATTACTTGTCTTCTTTAAAGATTTCTGAGTGACATTTACCACTCGATTAACGAACGGATAACTTTAAACGATTGTAATTACTAATTATTAAAAAAAAAAAAAAATTAGGCTACCAATATTAATCGCCGAACCATGATAATAAAGTTATAATAATGACTATGCAACTACCCCATCATATATCTATACATATTATATCTACGGCATTTGATTTATTGTGCCCTTTAAATTTAATTTAGGTTCCTATAGCGTAAGAGTATAATATATTGTTAAATAATTACCCTTTTGTCCTGTCCAATTATAATAATAATATTATGTAAATAAAAAGTAATTATTATATATTATAATAAACATATAATACAATATTATGTATGTATATATATTATTTTGTATGTAAACACATATATATTTATATATATATATGTGTGTGTGTATAATATATAAATATACGTATAAGTATATTAATTAAAACAATAATTTATATTATGTATATATAATATTATTTGTACTGCGTGTTTTTGTGTACTGTTTGTGATTGTGTGTAAATAAATTATTATAATTGCACACGTAATGATTTTTTTTTATTTATTTATAAAATGAATGTGATGAAACGGAAACGGAACCGCCGCGACGATATAATAATAATATAATATATACACACATAAAATAATAATATACTATACATAATAATGTGTATCAACTATCAATAGTAATAAACTATATATTATTATTATTATAACCATTTGTATGTGCGATATTGAATATAATACATTTAATAAAAAATGTGAGTGATAAAAATTTGAATTATTGTTTATGGTGAATTTGTTGTAAGACTTTGAGAGAAAAAATAAACGACAAAAAAATGAAAAAAATTTTAAAACAAAATTATTCGGCTTTGAATTAATTATTATTAGAGTAACCGTTCGTCTCCATCCAATAGCAGTCTTTCAATCCCTTGTTAATTATACCATTATATAGTCTGTATGTTAATGATTTATGGGTAGGTGATTCAGTATTTTTCTCCAAAAATTAATTTAAAACTTATTAGATTTTTAATTTTATCAAAATCATTTGCTGCATAATTCTATTTCATACTTATAGGTCTAACCTCCTATGTATAAATATATTTATTATAAGATTAAAAAGCTGTGTATCATTATTAATAAAAAATATTGTAAATATTGTGTTTGTATTGCATTAATACAACACTATACAATATTATGTTTTATACGAATTTTAAAAATAAACTTATCGTAAATACCTTAAAAGTAGGTAACGAATGAGTAATAACTATTTAGAAGTGTTTCTTTTCAGGTAAGTATTTTAAATAAAAAATTATTAGATATTATAATAATTAATAATTATTATGATCTGTGCTATGGCGAAAGAGCTACATCGTCACGTCAATGATTAGTCGTAAAATAATGATAATACTATTTCGATGTAATTATACGGTTGTACAGTATACTGTTGTATGTACGTATAGTGTAGGTATACAAATCACACACAATCGTTTCTCGTATAATACATAGATAAGAAACCGGCCGTCGCCGCCAACTCATGTCTCGTACGTTCATTGTGTCCGAGTAAATTAGTTTTTCCAAAAGGATGGAGCGCGTATGTATGGTGCCGATAACCAGTTTTGTTTTTTTTTTTATCCCGAGTTTAATTATTGTTATACGAGTAAAAACGCACGCAAACGAAAAATGCACTCACGTTTTTCGTCATCATCGCCGTCTTATCGTACCTACGTCTTACACGGCTACAGCGATTCGGACCAACAACCGGAAAATATATAATATGATTATAATAGCAAAATTGTGGTAGGCAGGTACTCACTAATTCTTATTAATAATGTAAAATATACTGCGGTATAATGTTAAACTCATCCAAGGAGATGTATGTGTTTTATACCAACTACCACGTTTTCTACGTATCTATTCATTGGCGGTTCGGACACGGTTTCTTTTTTCTTTTGAGTACCATATTTTCTCTGTATTGTGGGCTTAGATTATACATTTTTGGAAGCTATTGGTTTTTGTGTTAATGTCGGCAATATTTTAAACTCTTTATACACACCCTCATTGAAAACCGAGACGGCGCCTCACGACTGCTGTAATTGTATACGATTCACCATATTCCGAATTGTGCATGACGGACGAGAACACATCTGCAATGCAGGTAATATGCTGTTTTATATTTTTATATTTTAAAGAGATCAATTTAACTATAAGCATATTAATTTTCAATGGAAGTTTTTGCACCTATTTTCGAAAAAAAAATACATTAGTAGTACTTATATAAATTTCTTTCCGTTGTACTTCGTTCATCTAAGTCGATGCCGATAAATAAAATGAGCTTATATTATTCAATAGCCATGAGGTATTAAATATTTGTACAACATATTTTGTGAAAAGTGGTAAGCTGCTTCAGATTATGAAATTAAAAAAAAAAAAAAATAGAAAAAACCTTTAAAAGTTTAATACCACAAAAAAAAAAATAATGATAAACTATCGTTTTTTCAACAATTAGATTTATTAGCATTATAAAAACTTAAAACTCATGAAGCATTTTATTTAAAAAATTCATAAAATTACTATTCTAATAAATCACTCCGTATATAAAGTACCTAACAAACGCGGCAGTAGCTACCTTCCTACGCTCGCTATAGGTAATAATATAATGTATAAGGTTAGGTTATAGATATATAATATACAATATGGATGTACGATTTACGGTCGAGGACGTACGGTGTCGAATAACACAATAACACTATGTGTATATTATATAATATTAAAATGTGTACGCATGCGTGTACGATAAAATAGACGTAGGTACGGACGTTTTGCGACGGACCTTGAGTGAGATCCGATGACGAGATGTGCTGCAGCCGAGCGTCGGCAGGTATTGTTTCCTCGGATATTAACATCTTTTATTCTTTGTCGGTCATTTTATTATTTTCCCGCCAGAAAGTGCATATAATACAAATATATCACGATACAAATAATATTATGTGTGTGACCCACCCGTTGAAAGATACCTTTTGTAAATACCTACCCTGTAGTACCTATGCCACAATACCGGCTGGCTACTGCAGGCGGCAGACTGCCGACGCCTCCACCACCTTCACTACAGCCTACGCGTATACGGTTCGATTATTTTTCTTTTACCCGCGTGCGTACTGCTGCTAACACGAGCACATACACCTCAATTCTTACAGATATACACAAACAGATGAAACGAATAACAATTTGTGCGATGCGGTTAAATATAAGTAGGGATGGTACATATGCGGTGATGATGGCCGGTCTGTTCGAAATTGCTGTTGTAAATATTATCTATACATCGGTTATTGGTATAATATATATATATATATATATATATCATATTATTATTATAATATTGTCCCCTGTATTGTTTGCCGGTTAGACAGTTTAAATGGGTTTTACGCGAAATTGTATTTGTGTATTATTATTGAAGTATAAAACGCGAGATGGCTGCGGTTCCGGTGCCGCGTACGTGTGATACCTACATGCAATCGTAAAACCGAACGATACGGCACCTGCAGCTGCAGTAGAAACCCTATAAAATATATTAGGTTAATAGAGCAATTTCCGGGAGGCGAGAAGCCGAACCTGGTATAATAAACTATGCATAAATATTATATATAGATAAATATTGTGACGCAGCAAAATATTATCTATGAATAAGATAAGAATAAAATCAAACTCTTTTGGAGAAACTTTGACCTCATCCCCCCTTATTAAATTGTGACTGGATCTGAAAATATAGGTCGGTGTGTCATATGCAAGAAAGTTCGCACGCCGCTGCAAATATATATAAGTCAATTTCGACAATAATACGGACGTTTGCCGTTTCTTTAAATTGTGTATGAGTCGTATAATATTATTATACAGATTTAATTAGACGTTTCCTGTTTCTACGACGTATATAATAATATGTATACAGGTTCTTGTCACAGGAAACATGTAATATATTATTATTATCATTTATTGTGTTACTTACAATAATGCGTATTGTAATGTAATTTATTCTTTGGCCGTCTATCATCCGGCGTGCAATGTCAACTGGCGACGACAACGATACCGATCATCACGATGTCATAATGGCGGTCATAATATTAGATAGGAAAGTGTTTTGAAAAAATAAACGTCTTGTGTGTCAAAAAGCACACTAAAACGACAATAATAATAGTAAAATTGTAATATACTAATATGTAATGTCGATATTACAATTATTTATTCCTGTTAGGTTATCTCTACACCAATAAAGGTTCGATATTAAGTTAGTAGCTATATAGACCATCATGAAGTGGTACTCAAAAATGTATTGTTGTTGTATCATAATTTATTAATTTAAACACATATTTTTGTATAATTGAAAGTTTCAACATCAGAATATTTTTCTCCATAAAGTACGTGTATTATTTTTATTATTATTATTTTAGTAATGTTGCGTAGTACAATAGTTGGTATTATATATATAGTTGTTAACATGAAAAAATACAAAATAATACGTGTGTCTGGTGTCAACATGAATGTGTGCGAGACGCGAGTGTCTGCGCCATAATTAGTGTATTACCTATGTATAAGTATATGATGGCGACATGGTGGCAGGTCGCTGCTAAAGTATTCGACGTATAATAATAATAATATATGTATGTAACAAATAAAACACTAAAAAAATAAATTATATGAAATAAACGAGAAATATATACCAAGTAGATACCTATTTATTTTATATTGCTTTCAGGCTGTATCCAATATTTTGTTAAACTACGGGAGGTCTTCGAAATTAATATCGTATAACTTTTTAAACACCCGTACACGTGGTAACACACTCATACACTCACATTGATGCTCCGCCACTGACACACGCATACATAAGCCCAGGTAGACATTCTCGTTGTCGAGGTGAGCACATCGGTTAGCATTATATTATTCTTTCGATGTATGTAAAACGAATATCGTTGTCATTGTTTCGTTACGGTGTACGGACTGCGAGTGACTAGTGAGAAGTGACTATTGTGAACAATTTTAATTTAATTTTTTTTTTAACCATTCACTGCTGTTTGAATAATTATAATACTAATTCTAAATGAATACGTTATATACTTAAATATAGAGGACCGTAATTGAATTGATAAAATATCGCAAGAAAGACGATTAAATATAATATTAAATAATATTATGTATGATAATATGTATTATATTTTTATACACCATAAATTATGATACTAGTTTTAGGTTGTAATCATAATTTTAACAAAGTATTGTGGTGTAAGCTTAAAAAAATTCCGACAAATAATATAGAATATTGAAATAATTTAGAAAATTATAAGGATATGTATAGAATGGTGTATTTTCTAATAAATTGCATAGACGAAATATGGATATATAAATGACTGAAACTTCTGAAAATATGAACGTGCTAGGCATGTTATCTTGTCATAGTGATACGTTAAGCTTAAATTATTAGTAAATATCTATATAGGTACAAGTAGTATAAACTATAAAATCTATATGTGTTAATACGTATTTAACAATTTTTTTTTTTTTATTGACTATACATACGAGCGAAATAATACAAAAAATATTTTTGAAATAATAAGTGGTACTTCAAATATATATATATATATATATATTTAAATTAACAATTATTCATAAAATTATTTATGTTGTCTAAAAATTATGAATTTAAAGACTTAAAAAAAATGTAAAATATAGTAATAAATAGCTAGTTTATAGTAAACATAAATGGATTAGATTATTTCTATATTATTGTACCTAATATAAATACGTTTTTAATAAAATATAAAAATTATGTAAGTTATTGTTGGATTACAGTAGTCATGTTGGAGACCTTAAATATTATCTCCGTAGGTTAGTAAATTAAAAATCTAGTTTGTTATATCTATTTTTATACGTTGGTAGTTGATTAATTTTATTATTCTAAAAATGGCCATCTAAAATGTGTATCATGGATTTATGTATTTTTTATTTCCATAGTCATTATTACCATAAATGAAGACCATTCGATTCTCATTTCTATCATAACAGTCACGAGTATAATATATAAAAATAATAACAATTTATTTTAATCATTAAATAATTATTGAATATAATTGTATAGTAATATTACACATAGGGATTTAATTGTTAATAATTTATAAGCCAAATCTAGAGGCTATAATGATTCTTAAACTATTTTTGATGAATACTATTTATTTGATAAGGACGAGAATAAAAGTTTTTTTTTAACTTTCTGTGAAAACGAGTGTTTCACCTATGTTTTTATTACAAATATTGTTTATACCAGTAATAACTTAAAAATATACTTCACGGTATTTTCAGTTGTGATTTTAAAATTATAGAATTTAAAACTATTATCTTTCAGTTTTCACTGAAAATGTTTTAAGTATTTAATATTTATACTTTAGTTTTTATATATTGAATTTGACGTGGTATATTGGATTTTTTAATAAAAATGTTCAAATTTAAAAACCAAAATCACAAATATGTTATAGTTTGAGCATTAAATTTAACTAGTTTGAGGTGGTTAACCCTCCATATACACTTCAGATATAATAGTGTATGTATACCGTTATCGTTCCAGGTGTTTTGAGACTTGTTGTATATATATAGATAAAATATGTACAGTATAGATTTTATAATCGTTAAACTATGTGCTGAATATATTTGGGTTGGTAATTTGGTAATAATATAAATTTATAATAAATGTATTAATAATATAATATGTATATAAGATACGAGTATATTATTCGAAATCGACTTCCATCATTGAACTTGCACACTTACATTGGTATAAATTATTAAACGCCATCGTAATAATGTGAATAAATATTTTATTACACACCTATAAATAAAACATATTAATTCCGCCACACTAGGTTTTTTTTAATAAATAATTAAAATCCTATTCGATCGATACGTCCCGGCGGTGGTTCCTTGAAGTATTATATTTACGTGAAATCGACTTAATTATTTAATACCCGTCAACAGTAGTAATAATATATTGTAATAACTTATGGCGGTGCGACCAACATGTGTTACAATAAATGTTTGAAAAGAAAAAAATTTTACACAATCATATTGATTATCGTCGTCATCATTTAACCGGACGCATTTTAGCTGCGAGTG